AATGTGCGGTGAAGCTGAAAAGGTTTGCTGCGTGACGATAACTGACGATGTACGCGTAATGCTTCAGCAACACTCGGCGAACACGTGCATAGTCACGAAAAGAGTTTTGTATTGTGTTGTTACTTATTATGCGTATTTAAACAAGCTGCACAATAATGTAGTACAAAAAGATAAAAGCGTAAGACAATACGAGACTTTTTATGGATCCCAAAGTGCGCGCGCAACCTCCCAGTGATTCGTTACCCGAGATAGAGAAAAAAACTGGTGGTTGTCGTAGACGTTTATTGGCGTATCGTGTTACTAAAAAGTACCGAATACAATCCTGTGTGACGATTTAACAATGCAAGGAAATAAATGCGGTAGCAAGGAGAAAGCGTTTCACACGTGTTGCGTTGGTTGGAACAAGACTGAGAGGAAAACTGTGATGAGTAAAATACAAGCATTTATGTAAAACAGAAGGTAATATCACAGAGAGGCCAAACTTGATTGTGAACAAAACATGAACAAAAAATATCCTCTTGGATTGCTCCTTTTCTTGAATGTGTTACACCATCCGAATCGTTAGCTGCACTGTGCTCGATGTTTGTAGAGTCCGTGATCGTTGGCGTGCCGAAATGAAAGAAGTAGACCACTTGTTTTCCACTTATGTGTCCGTGGAAACGTAAATTGTTTTCAACAATCACTTGAAATTCAAAGGAGCCACGATTGTGCGAGCGGGTCGCAAAATTCTCGTAGAAACTTGAAGCCGCCAATGTGTGTTTCGTATGACCTGATCCTTGGAATTAAAAGATCATCGAAGAAAATCCAGTGTGGCATCCTAACGTTCGGACTTGTTGCATCAATCGTAAACAATCACTGAGCATGTAAAGGAAATATCGAGATAAGGCATCCCGGGATATAAGTCGAAATAGGTAATGCTCATGTTAGGGGCTTGTGAGGATCGTGTTTTTCTCACTCTCTCAGACAAGCAAGCAGAAAGTGAAACTGAACGTGCAGTAACCAACTAGACGGTTCCGATCCAGTAAAACAGCAAGGTCCGAATATGGGTATGTGCATATGAGGATAGCGTTCATGCTACCAATACAACACCAAATGGTTTGATATGCACTGGACACCGGGACGCTTCCGAAACTTAAGGTTACTCACGGATGAAGCGAGAAGACATCCTTTCTGCTTCCTGTTTCTCAACTTCACTGAGAAAAACCCGATAGAAGAAACTCATACAACGCAGTGTTGGCAGACAAGAACACCCGCCATCAAGACAATAATCCAGACGCTAGATTAACAAGGACCACATCTCGTCCTGTGAAGTGTTTCTTGGCAAGGTAGTTGCTGATGTTTGTCAAAACACACAAAACGTTGTTTGCAGATCGTGTTAGTGCTCGCTCTGAAACAAAACTACTTCTATTACTAAACGCGCTAAAACTTCGTAGTAAAGATGAACAATGGGATCAGATTACACAAGCCATGCACTCAACGGCGAAGGATGCTTGCAAATGTAAACCGGTAGCCCATCCGAGGTGTTAGATGTCTGATGATTCAGTAGCATTGATGCAGAAAAGTGGTAAATCTCGAACACCCAGAAGCGAAGGAGGGGTAGGTGTCTCACAAAGAGCCTCAAGAAGGACCGTGAAGATTGTCGGGCAACCAGTGCTAGTGAAGTGGAAGTAGCAGGTGCATCAGGGAATAGTCAAAGAATGTTCCGACGGATACTCAATGTGGGAGGTTGAGGAACTCCAGGAACGGAAATAGCTTGCGATAAAATGGGACAAGCTATTCACAATAGAGATCAACGGCTTGATCGCTGGAAGAATACCTTTTGTAGTTAGCACTTGGATCAGTAATTCGTATACGTACGCAATCCGCGCAGTAATAGTCCAATCTAGAACTAGGACTCAGAATGAAGTCAAAATACAGCACAGAACAACGGAATCGAAATGTAATAAGCGGAAAGTTGGAATATACAAGGATATCGTGTTCAATAAAACAAAGGAGTTCATAGTTTATGTGCAATCAGCACAAGACTTCAGGACACAGTTCAGCTGGCCCGGCACTATCCAGAGTATTTCATCGGTAACTGAAGCTACGTGTGCAGTGGCATACGATTCTCCCTCAGAATCAGAAGTTCAGTCTTGCATTCAAGCTCTGAAGCATGGAAAAGCATCAGGACCTTACAGACTCCCTCTCGCTCTTTCCAAAATGAGCGTAACGACCAAAACAAAAAAAAAATAAAAAAGTGAAATATAAAGTTCTGAATAGAAAATTCACCAACATAAAATCCAACGTCAGAAAGGATAGCAGTAGAATGCACAATAGAATAGCGAAGAAAGGTAAAGAAATGCAAGGTATTCGTGAGGAATTTTCAGTCTAATTTGATGTTACAATGAGGAGTGAAAATTTCGTGAACTTCATCACTACTTCACAACATCTGGAGGCAAGAGTGCATTCCTACATTTTGCGGCGAATTACTGATCGTTCCCATCTTCAAAAAAGGATCTCGCAACGATTGCGGAAACCAACGCGGGATAAGTTTGATCCCACTCGTCACCACAGTGCTAGCACCTATCATACTTCGACGTCTGACTCTTTTTAACAGAGACGAACATCCGTGAACAGCAAGCCGGATTCCGGCCTGGCCGTGGTTGTATTGATCAAATTTCTACATTGCATCAGTTCCCTGAGCTGCGTCACACCAATCGTCGGTCAACGATCGGGGTGTTCCTCGACCTGGAAGAAGCCTTCGATTCAGTTGATCGCGAAGCTTTGATGGGTTCTCTCTTTCGAAAAAAATGCTCCGGAAGTACGTTAACTTACTAAGGTCACTGTACTTACCTCTGGTGAGTGAGAATTAGCAACGAAATAAGTAGGCCGTTCGTCACCAACAGCGGCGTTCGTCAAGATTGCCGTCTTTCGCTGTTCCTGCTCAATTTCATCGTGGAAGAAATTATGGAGACCACACTAAGTGGTCTCCAAAACGTAGGCATCGAATGGCTAGCTCGAGTAAAGCTGTGAAATTTAGAGCACATCGGTGATATCGTCAGTCTGTTAGAATGTATGGAAGACTCACAAAGCGTGCGTGATAGACTAAAAGGTGCTGTTGCCACATTCGGCATCTGCTTGGCCCCATTAAAATGCTGTTGCAAGGCTGCGTGCCGCCTACTCCCGCTTTGAAACAAAATGACCAAGAATTAGTTATACTGGATTGCTTTTCCTATTTAGGTAGTTGTGACTAAGGACGATAGCGCAGCAATGGAGATAACCACTCGCATCTCCAAGGCTCGATCAGCTTACGCAGTGTTGTGGTGACTAGATTACGTTACGGCTCACATAATTTCCAGAAATTTTAAAGTGTGCATACATTATTCGCGAGAGGTGTTCTGAGGAGAACGGACCGTACTGTAATGCTACACGACTTATGTCAAGTAGGTCTAGGATCTAGGAATATCTCGATGCATCTCAGCCTGGTGCAAACTGTGGAAAACGCAGTGCGTATAAGTGTTCATGCGAGTATTGATGCAAATTAAAACACAATAAAGCAGAAAATGGGGGGGGGGGGGNGGGTGAGAGGATTATATATCAGCATAGTTAGGGCAGGCTAACATAAATTTTTCTCTTCATCGAATGACAGCAATCGCTTCGGCGAACCTTAGAACCGTGACTATTCGGTACGTTGTGCTTCGGTCGGCAGTCTGTTACATCATCATCTGACGTAAGGTCATGACTCATGACGGTGTTGGCCATCGTTCCTATGCAGTGAATTTGACCTGGATTGCATTTGCAACCTAATTTGGAACATGTTCAGCTACCCGGTTATGCAATTTTGGCTGTGTGCTGTCAACGTAAGTCACTCCGTATCAACATTGACAATGGTAGATCAGATGAATGTTGGCGTACAAAGGTATACGTTTCTTCCTGGGGATCAGCAGCATAGTAGCTTTGGGTGATTGCCGATCTATCGTTTTACGCCATCACTTCTGAATTGAAGGCACAGAAGTACTCGTAATTTCTTGACGCACCTGTTTCTTCCACAATTCTCAGTTTGCTGTTTATTGACAAACGTGTTTTGCCTTTACGACTTCTCGCAGCTTTTGCTTAATTCCGACCACCATACAGATCCGCCTCATTCGGTCAAGTAAGGTCCGACAAAGATTAAGTTCATTTTCCAGAGGCACAGATTATCTAAGTGTACAAATTGGCCGCATCAAAGCAACGTGTAAACATTACGTTTCCTGCAGTACACACCTTGTTGAGATACAGCGAAGTCGCCCTGGACATGAATCGTGCAGTATGATATTTTTATTTGAAATTTATCCTGAGAAAATCCTGCTAAAACCAGTATGCAAATGGTTGCACAGCTCTCTAGTCCAAGTAAAAGGAACTTTGATCTTTCGTGGGCACTGCGATCAGCTAGTGGGACTTCAGGGAGCGCTCATCATTTTCCCACAATAAGGAAATACAATTCGATGATTGGGAAAATGCGCAAAGAATCGACTACACTAGTTACAGAAAGAAGCAAGCATTTAATCGGGAACGAATTTAGGAAACTAATGTCTCATTAAGCGACTTTTTGTATGCCCCTAATACACCATTGAATAACAGTGATTTCCGACAAAGAACAACAACAATCTTGGAAGATTTGTATTGCAACAACGGTTTAGAGATAGGGTTGGGATTGCGGTGAAAATATTACAAGAGAGAGATGAGGCAGGCGAAAATACGAACACGTGGTGAAACCGATACCAATGTTCGCAGTTCTTCATTATGGGCTCTCGTCTTGAGACAGTGCTGAGGACTCTTCATCTGAACCAGACGGTGGGGGTAGCCCTGGTCGCTGGCGACCATTAGCATTACTTTGCGAGGAGACAGGAGAATCTTCAAGTCGGCGACGGGCCTCGACGGATGGATTGGACTGTCGGTCACCATCATCCTCGGGTTCGCTGCCACTGCTGGCAAGCATACGCTTTCGCTTTGCCGTACCAGCCAACGCAGTATCTGAGTCATCATCCTCATCATCGCTAGATGCAGCAACAGGGAGCCTTGAGTGTTGTTTCTTTCTGCTTGTTTGTTCCTCCTCACTTTCACTGTCCATCCCGCGCCGACTTCTGCCGCTTGGACGACGCCTCTCCTCTTCTCCTGACTCTTCTTCAGAAGACTCATGGCGTACGCGTCCTCTTGAGCCACCAGAACCTTTGTGGGATTTGTGAGATGCCTTGGTCAACTTTTTCGATCGTTTCCCGTCCCGAGCGTGACGTTTTGGAGTACCGTCAGATAAGTCAGAGGAGGACGGTGAACTTGATGGACGTTGCGGTGGTAACAGATCCTCAACTGGCTGGTCAGGATCGTCCTCATCCGAGGAAAGAATTTTCTTAGCCAGCGCTGCCACTCGGGCATCCTCTCTGGCTTGCTCATCTTCATCGCTACTACTGGAGTCACTAGAGTCTGAGACAATGGCTTTGCTGACTACACGCATACGTTGTTTCGCAGTCAGGCCGTCATCACGACTTGAACCGAAACGAGACTTCTTCCTAGCCGAGGCCGATGCACGCGATTCCGAACCATCGGTTGCACGTCTTTTTCCGGTCCGCTGCTTTGACTTGGATTTGGCAGCACGAGTGCCTTCAGCGCTCTCATCACGCCCTTCATTATTTTCTGGACCACTACTACTCCCGCTATCCTCGTCTCCAGAGGCAATAAAGTCGTCTTTACGACGACCTCCGCCACCACCACCTCGGCGACCCTTGCGCTCCTAGGGAAAGGGGTATCAAAGAAAACAGACGAAGAGTAAAAGCTATGATGCTAACTTCAACGGAAAATGTTAAAGAATCCGAGCGTGTCAAAAAACCACTTTATAGCCTATTTAATCGTGTCAGGCTACATGTCAAACATGGTCAGGAAAGGTCGGCATGAAACTATCAGAATGATAGTACAATGGATCAGTAAACAACTTTATTCAGTGCTTCATTTCGAAAGGCTAAATGCAGGAAGTTTTATAGCCATGTGAAATACTGGAAACAATCATCTAGACTTAGAAAGCAATCGCATTTAGCAGTGATGCGGATCACCAAAGTATTAGCATGCTGCTTTCGTAGAAAAGGTTGGTTCAATGGGATTCAAGATTGCCACGACAGTTAACCGAATCACAGTGAAACAGGAGCCAGAGGGGCAGGAATTACGACTAGCTTAAATCAATACCATGGAGGTTATCTGTCCACGCAACACGGTTAATCGGAAGTGAATATCAGGGGGATCCGGAAAAAAGTGAAAACAACTGTGATCCACTTCTACAAACATTTTTTCTGCGCTCAGCATCAGTTAGCGAGGACAACGGGATCATTTGCATCATAAGTGCATGCATATCTAGACTCTGTGGAGCATAATGGCTACGTCTGGGATCACTTACGTCCCCCACTGGCTCAATCACAATTTGTTTGGCTTTCTCCAGGAATCGACCTCGCTCCTCTTCAAGACGTCGTTCCCGTTCCAGACGCATCTGTTCAGCCTGTCTTTGTAGTTCTAGTTGACGTTTCCGTTGAGCTTCACGTTCCTCCTCCTGATCAGACAAAAGAGGACCGAAACGGGCAGGATTACAGATAATAAAAGGTTGGTCAAATCCTGTCTCGCAAGTGGTAGAAGTATGCGACTCCATGAAACCAAGTAAATAAATATCAGATCTAAAAACGAGCGTAGTGTGGGCTCAGTGAGTAGTACCCCACACGGAGTAGAAGCTGTGTGGTGCCTTCTTTCAGCCGATTCGATTTTTGAAACCACAGAAAGAGTGAGGCCGATTTAGAGGAATGGTAGTGATTCACTTCCAGTTTTATTGAGTGTTTTATGAACCCGAAGATGTATATTCAGTGATCGTATAGCACGGTGCGGTAGCAGTAACAACAAACAGCGAACCGATAATGCGGGTTACAAGTAAGACAGAGCTAATAATACAAACTAAGGGAATACCAAAATTCATATAACTCTATCAACATTGTAAGTACCATAGTACCAGCTACAGACACCGGATTCTTGCTTGAGATTTTATTAACATAATGAATGTGGGTGAGGTAGGAGAACCTGAAGTGGAACGCTAAAAAACTACCTGTTAGTATGGTGATTCGAATGCACATTTTAAGGGCAAATAGTAACTGCAAACTATGGGACAAAATGATGGATAATGGACTCACCTGTCGCTTTCTTACGACACGTTCCTGTTCCTCACGCGATCTGGCTCGGTC